ACTTCAAAGTAGATAGACTATGAGCCACATGCAAGCTGATTTTTATCATTCTGTATAGTAATATACACATATGAATATCACTATGTTGGGCCACCAGCCTACTTCTTTTGATAAGTTGCTTGTTTTTCATTTATGATCCATGTATCATGTGAATTTTGTAGTGGATCCTTTCATCTCTGCAGGTTTGACAGCTTCAGATGGTCCCTGCTGTCCTCTGCTTCCTCCTGGGAAATGGATATTCAAAACCATATCTGTTTCTGACAAATGAATTAATTTTGTTTTCTGTATGCTACGTTGGAATTTGCTATGTTCCTTTATGTATGATGTTCACCGAAGTTGGGAGCCTCCCACCTTGAGAACACACTGGTTTTGATAGCTACACCTGTGTTATCATCATTCTGTTGCTATACAGCAAAGTCCCTTCTAGAAATTCTGTCTCATGGTGAATGTGGGACAGAAACTGACCCCTTGGTCCCTGCATTCATGGAAGAAACCTTTTTCCTATGACTAAAATATGCTACTTCCTTTAACTTGTATAAATTTTTGTAGCTTTGTCATTCTGTTATTTGGTGCTAATTATATTTTAATGTCTCCTAATTAAAAATTAAAATTTGTTGCTGGCTAAATACAATATGCAAATGATGCAGATCCCCTCCCAAAGAAGATGTGTGTTCTGTGTTCACTAATGAATTAGGATTTCAATATTCCATCTCTATTTTTGGCTTAATAATAATTCAAACTACTTTATTTAGAACATCTTTTTTACTCTGGGAAAGAAAAATAGAAATATTAATGTGTTCCAAATACACCAGGGAACAGGAACGACTGGAGTGAGCAATGATCTAAGTTTCCTACCAGAGCATCTTCTGCTTTTTTTCTGTACAAAGCCAGAAGCTCACCTTCATGGGGCCAGTCTTCCTTGCCTCAGCCCTAAGCAGAGGGTGAGAGGGCAGTGAATGCCTCTCTCACTCAAAGGTAAATGCATTGACTTTCTGCCTTCAGTTACATTAGGGTGCATACTTTAGTAATATTCTTCACATTCTCTTCTGAGAAAGAATGTTTCATGCTACATATTTTTCTTGCCATTTTTCTTGTTAATTTGGTTTATTATTTCAGTCTAATGAGAAAAATAAAGGTTTTGATTGCAGTATTTTATTAGGTTAGGAATGTATTTTCTTTGAAAGATTAGTACTTGTAAATGCATAAAATAAGTAAATGTCATTTGTGAGTCTGTCTGAGCTTGAAGGATGGCATATATTAAAGCATCAGAATTCTGATTCGATTCAGTCCAGCTGGGAGAATGCAACAGGCCTTCACTCAGAGTCCAGAGAATGAGATCGCTCAGCACCAAGCAGCACAGATTGGTACCCAAATCCACTGTTTCACCATGGCAGGGACAGATGCTGGTATCAGAAGAACACTCCCTAGACTCATTGTATCAGTGTTGAAAATAATATAGACATCATATTTGTCACTGTGCTCCTGAGTCTAATTCACTGGCCGCTTTGAGGTAAAACATAGCATGTTAACTCAAAAAAATTAATATGGAGTATTAAATATTAGAATGGAAATGATAGCACATAAAGGAGACCATCTAGTGGTCTGCATCTAATCTTTCACTTTGGGAGGCAACTGTATGTTATGACTATGGAAATGAATAAAGTTGGAAAATAATTGATCTGGATTCTCAGCCTTATTTCCAAGCTTTTCCCACATCTTTCAGGAGACGAAATCATGAAAAGTTGAAATTGCTTACTTGAATTCAAGCCAGATCCTTTGTTCTCTCTCAAAGACATGTAGACTACTTACAAATAAAACAATGCAAATGAAATTACTTGAGGATAAAATAAGATAAAATTTCCTACGGCCAATGTTCTTAATGTAGGTTAATAAATGAACTTGGTGGATTCTTCAAGCCCAGTGAATTTACAGTCAGCCATCTGCACCCTTAAATAATAAATTCAATGTAACAATTCTTTTTGTGGTGTTTACATTGTATAGATACTATTAGAGATCTTCAGATGATTTTAATTACATAGGGTAATGCGTGTGTGATATATGCAAATCCTGTACCACTTTAAGAGACATAAGCATCCACATATATGACCTTCCAGAAGGGCTCATCCAACCCCTCCCCACAGGGCCTGTAATGGCTCTGGTTCTGTATTTTGCATATGTATATTTGTCTTATGGGAATGGTCCTTCACATTAATTGATTCTGAAAATGGTTTACTTACCATTTGCTTGTTTGAACTGGTTTGCCAAAAAATTCTTTTTTTTTTTGGTACTGGGGATTGAGCTCAGATCCTTGTGCTTGCAAGGCAGGCAGCAGAACCACTGAGCTAAAACCCATGCCATAAAATTCTTGGAAGCAAGATATCTTCAAGGAAGTACATTAGGACACACATACATGAACACATCTGACAACAAAAACATATATATTTAAATTCACAAAGGATATCCTTTAAATTTGATATAAACAATATAGAGTAGTAGATATGGAGTGGTGTTTTGTTGAATTATTATTAAAGATCCAAATATAATTTTTCGAAGGACTTGCAGCTACCATTCAAATAAGTGGTCCTGGTATTGATCTCATGTAAAAAAAAATCCCAAAATATTAAGTACAATGTAGCATTAGTTTGTATAAGAAGAGACAATTACAAAAGTAAATGTAATGTTTGTGAGATAAAACATAACTAATGACTGTAGTTTGGAATTGAGACTATGCAATTACAAAATATGTGTACATAATTTTAAACTTTAAGCCCAAAGGATTTCATTTTTAAAGCTGCTCTTTAATTAGAGCAACATTCAGTGATTCAGGAAGTGCGGGCAGTTAAGGTTTTGGCCAGGGCATCAATCATGTATTCCCTGCATCTGGGGGGACAGGAAGTCTGAGGAAACCCACTGGTGTGGAGTGTGTAATCAGGTGGGTGCAGGAGGCTGCTCTGAGCAGGGGCGCTGATGTTAATCTTGAGAGATCAGAAGTCAGTCAAGAGCGGATCATAAATCAGAGCATCCAGGGGCAGTGTGCCACTCTTACTAAGTCCTGAAGCCAAGTCCACATCTGCTGTTTAAGGAGCAGAGCTCATAAGCAAGAGGACAGTGGCCAGACAGCACCCACGAGGAGGTATCAGGCCAGATGAAGTCATAGGGACTGAATGGGGCAGAGCCAGAGTCGGTGATGTTTCAGGTGTGCTGCCACTCTGCAGTGGGACAGGGCTCCTGGGAACCTGATCTCCAAGACCCCTCCTGCAACCACACTGCCTTCCAGATGGCTGGAAGTCTATGCCAGTGCTGAGACACAGGGGCAAGGCAGACTGACTACATTTCCTGCTAATTTACATTGTATCATTTTGAGGAGCAACAAAAGTGACAGAGGACAATCTGGACAAGTGTGACTGTGCCATATGCCAGTTACAGTCATTACAGATGTGATTTGAA